CTGAAAAGAAGCATAACAGATAATAAAGCAAGTTAGATGATTACTAAAACCGTTAAATGGCGCCGTATTAATTAATTGTAACAGCGTTGATCCAAAGAATTTCAATAGATTATTTTGATTAATTTTCCAGGACAGCGTAGAACCTCTATAGCAGATTTCAGAAGCGCTCTCTGTCAGTTTTTCGCGAAAACATGATTTTGAGAAAATTTACTTCCAGCAGGGATTGCCAACCCTTTTCTTACACCGATCGCTATTGAAAGAATAGTTTTCTTCAGCAAACCCTATAACATTTTTCTCTATAATATACAGTGTCCAACGTAATCGTAATACAAAAAATTGCACAAAAATAGTTAAAGATAACAATTAGACTAAGAATATAAATAAAAAAATTTAAAAAAAACTGTTTAAGAGATTTAAGTTTTATTAATCTCAAAATGGGATTTTGCGTTGAATCACTATAAACCCCGTATAACTTTTCAAATTGTAGCCACAAAATATTATCGCACCGTATTAACCACAAAATATTATCGCATTATTTTGAAAGAAATTAAATAATGAAGAATCTGCATGAATGTCTGAATGTTTTTCGCAATGTAAAAAAACGACGGTACCTAGAGTCATCCAATTTTGAATAACGTATTCGTCCACGTAGTTTATACGGCTTAATACTCTTCTCCACAATATAAATCACACTTTTAAAAACCTGTAAAATAATAAATAAATTCTATTTTATTGAAAATTATCCCAGCAGTATTACTTACGATTTTCACGATTCTTTGCAGCCCTACATTTTTAATACAATTTCATGCTAGCCTTATCCTCAAAAGCTTCATTTTTCGCTTCCAGTGTTTCAGTTTTCAAGATGCAGAATTCTCAAAATATTTTAGCCGCGATTGATCTTTAGAAATCGATATGATACTGTTTCAAAGCAATAATAATAAATTGTAATAACATTTTAAAAACATCCTTATTTATTAGGCAATAATCACCGGTGCCACTATGGTTTACCTAAGCAGCGCCTAAACTAAATTTAAAGGCTGAAGGGTCATGCTGACATTATTTTACATATATTTCCCAGTTACGTGACGCATTTCGGATTTTACGTTGAAACTGAATGAAAATACTATCAAAAGAAGCTGAAATAGGACGATTTAAAAAAGACCTCAACTGGGAAAGTCTGAAATCGGACATAACCCTATAAAATTTCATCGACCACCAGGATGTAAATATCGATCCATTGGAAGCCCATGCCTAAAGGAGACCTCTTCGCTCTGCATAAAACTCGGGATACTTCAGCTAGATCTTATAAGGTATTTTCTCTCCTTTCCGCATGCTTTCGTGGCGTAATTGTGCATACTCGTCACGCGTTCGAGAAAACATTGGAAGCATACGAGACTCGTATTCGAGAGGTCCAGCGTTCGAGCCTCGGAAAGCACTGTACATTTTTCACATCTCCTGCTTCAAAAAAAAGTCTAATGACTCTATAATCTAAATATCTTAAGAGACAAATGCTGAGTATTATATAGATTCTCTGTTATTTCTAATACAGAATAAAATTTGATAAACTTCTGTTAATGTTTCTAAGATATCGTGTCTACAAAATTAGGAGGATGCATAAAAGCAAAATTGAAAATCAGGCATCGGCGGGAATGAGGATACAAGAAACACCCACTTAACTTGGAACATAAAATGAGGTCACCTTTTTAACAACTAAAATAAGTAAGAGTCACCGAACTGCGAAAGCTAAATATGAGTTAAAAATTGTTAACAAAAACAAATAAAGGTCGGATAATTTAGGGGAGCAGCAATTACAATACTTTCGCATCATCCAAAGCATATTCAGTGCAACGTTAATTCAAAGCAATGTTTCAGTTCTTCAGCTTTTTCAATCTATGAAAAAAACAGTTATTTTTTAATAATGACCCCGTAAATAGTTAAAATAAGCTTGATGTGACAGTTGCATGCGCATAAATTGCTCGCAAAAAACATAGACGTCATGCTGTGTAATGGCGTTCTTTAATTGGGTATCCCGCGGAAAGGATGAATTCGGAAACGCTAACACGTGTTCGAGTGAAAAACGAGTTTAACGTCCCTCTTCGCACGAACGCTGAACAATATGAAGAATGAAATGAAAACTGGGTCACGAGAGTTGCAACTTTCACTTAAAACTGGTAAAAGATGAGTTAAATATAGACTAAATAGTTATAAAACATACAGAAGTAAGTCGTGGTGTTCGTTTCCGGTAATTTCAATCACACAGCATATGTGCTTTTGCGTACATTCTACCAAGTTCGCCATAATAAATTTAGAACATTAGTGAAGCAAGAATTTTGAAATTTTTTGTATAACAACAGCCCGAAGAGCAGGGGTTTCCAACCAAAGGTGCCAGCGAGATAATATATTCACCTTTTGTTTAAAATAAATTAAATAATTATTGTTTAAAAATGACATGCTCGACAAAAAAGACAACAACGTCTGAAGAAGGTTTTAAATAGTCCTTCTATTTAATCCTGAAATTAAACAGATGGCACAGCCTATGCATATGAACAAAACTCCACTGCTTGCGAATAGTAAAATAACAAAGTTGAAATGACAAATTAAAAGCATCGCTGTCAGAAACTATACAAATTTGGCCTACTCAGGTGGGTCAACCTTAATGACGCGTTTTAACGTCGGCTAGCTAAATGACTAAAGCCGGAATATTAATGGGCACAGTTGGGCGATAGAAAATAAAGCTGCGAGCACCAATGCAGCTTTATTATTCAACTCTATATCTAAAACTTTCAAAACCGTCCCTGTAAGTAGTCCACAAGCTCATTTGCATGCTGATAAGGGCTACCAGAACGTAGAAATTATAGCACAGATTCAGATTATAAAAAATTGGTTAATTCGCATAAAATACCTAATTGTGTTAATTATGCATTACCGTATAACTATATTACAATTAGAACTAATTCAGAAGCAAGGAATTAATGCTTGTTACACTATATATTCTTCCCCTTGAAATGATTAACAGACAGTGGCGTAGCTAGAAGTACGATGGGGGGGGGGTCGGCCTAGGCGATACATTTCTGACATGAAACATTATTTTATAGGAAGTCAGTCATGTGGATCGTCGAGGCCCATAAAGAATAATAAGATTGCGAATTGCATACCGAATTAAATTGAGTAAAAAAAAATTTACTCAATGTAAAATATTCAAAGAAATCGCAATGAGATTTCAACAACTTGATAGTCTTGTTATACCTTTTTCATTCCGTCGAAACATTTAAACGGAAAAGAGAAAATAAACCAAATTATTATCACGGTGGCATTAATTAGGAAGGACGTCTTATGGTTGTTAAAGAAGTATTTCAAAAGTTTTATTTCCGTTCCTGCTAGGGAAAACGAGACAGGAAAAATAAAAACACAATCTCCAGAACTTCCTCCAGAGTCGCTTAAAAAGCATATTTTTGAGAAATTAACGGATACTCTTAAATCTGACCAGGCAACAAAATCAACAGGCAAATCATGAGCTAACATTCAAGACACATGGAAAACATTTCGTGAAAAACCCCGTAAAGAGGCTATGGCAAACTTCAGACTGAAAACAGGTCACGATTGCATAGCACATCATCTTAATAAAATAGGTATCCTACCATCTGGTATATGCCAAATTTGCAATTCCAGCATCATGAATGCAAAGCACCTTCTTAGATGCACACAACTAGATAAAGAGTCTCAGAAACGTGGTGAGATAAGTAAACTATATATATATTAGAATGCCAGAGGTTTCGTAGACTCCTTGTAAAGACAACATCTCCTATTTTCCTTTCTTTGTTGTTTAAAATTTTCACTTTACTTTGTTATACTTTTGTTCCCATGCTCATTTATTCTGATTCTTACTTTATAAATGTTTGTTCTTTTTTATTATTTATCATTGTTCTTGTGTGATACTTCAGCTGTTTTATATGTTTGGACTGATCTTTCCAATAAAGCCATATGTAACAACAACAACAATCTCCAGAACAAAGTTCCAAATACTCTAATTCGAATGTGCGAACATTCCTTACAATCAGGGTAAGCGCTATTGCTTATGAGAATAGTTTTCTAAATAAAAATTATTTAGAAAACATTTTAGAGCTGTAAATCTTTATATTACGCTTAAGAAGTATTTAATAAATATAAATGTTTATTTTGCATTCCATAAAACTTACTGCAACTAACATTATTACTCTACACTACAGCAACTAAGTAGATCTCTACGATGTCATCGATGGTTTTGAGAACAAGAAAAAAAGCAAAATAATAATATAATTTGAAATTGCTAGAAATAAATTTTTTCTTAAGAAATAAACATAGTTTTAATTTATTTCTCCAAATGCCATTTTGACATTTTTTGTAAATAATTTGTTTGCATATCAAGAGCGGCGGTAAAGGCTGTAGCTATGCCACCGTTAACAGAAGCTGAAATTCTCTATGTCCCCTCCCGCCAAAAAAAGCTTAATTCTCTGAAAAGGAGGCCTTGAATTTCGTTTCCATTAATTTATTTATTTTACTTCTGAGTGCAACAGATTTCGAAATCTAACGAAGCATAAAATTGACTGCAATACTGAAAGTTCTTAATCCTTTTATTCTGCTTCCATCATTTCGTTGTGATTTTTTTTTTCCAGTTTGCTGTAATGAACATATGACTGACATATTAACAAACGCAAAAAGTATTAAAAAGGAAAACAATTCAGCATTTCAGAGACAAGTTTATAATGTAAAATAGTATATAACAGTCTTGCTCTCTTATGGCGCACATGTTTCAAGATTCAAATAAATAAACCGACATATTTAAAGCCGTGAGCATGAAAGTCTAAACAACAGCTCAGCTCTCGAGCAGGTCTCGTAAAAGTCTCGTTTTTTGCTTGCAAAGAATTATGAAAATAGTTTGCTTTTACACTACAGAAATTAAAAAAGTGAGGAAGAGAACTATCTTTCTAGAGGTGTTTAAAGAAATAGAAAAAGTAACTTACCTCTTTCTTTTCTCCTTCTTTCAGCGTCATTTTGAAAATACGAAGTACTTTTACGAGTGATTCTACTTGAGCAGCCCGTGTAGTCATATATTCGAATAACTCTTCTTGGCAAATACTAAAGTCTCCACACCCTACCGGTTGAGATGTGCACAGAGATTCAAAGTACATGATATGATGGGCGAAAAGAATGGCTAGATCTTCAACATTTTGACGTGAGATTGATTTCGATCCGGGATCAATGTTCAGTAAGTGAAGGATGCTGTCTGTTTTCAGGCACTGAAAAAGAAAAGCATGTTGGATAAATCATTCTGAATTTGGCTACTGTTAAATATATAAAGACACATTGAGAACTCAATGATTTTAGCGCGAACTTTATTACATATATCCAAAAGCCAGGAATACAAATAATAAATATTACACATTGTTTTCATAGCATGGTGGTAAAAATGAATCAAATATTCAAAAAGAAAGATTATATTCAGACAATAAAAAAAAAAAAAAAAAAAAAAAAAGACTTAACTAAATAGACTTAAAATGTTTTAAGTGCAAAATACTTTAAGGAACAGAATTATATGAAACAACTTATAGAGCAGAACGTTTTAGAGCAATTTCTGGAACTTATAGAACTATACAGCGCAGCTTATGGAATTGCTGTTGCGACTTATCTCACTTGATCAGAACGAGCCCGCGTTGACAGCAAGATTACGCCTGCCCTTTGTCTAGATCCTTGAGCACGATACAGTTGGTAGTACGACTTCGCTTAGTTCTGCCCACAATTTTGAGGGAGAGCACCCCTTGGGGGGGAACAGGTCTAAGTGTCCTCTATCTCTCTTTCACTACCACCAACCTCTCGAGAGGACGTTTCGCTCGCTATATATTTAGAGTGCTTCCATGCCGCAAAGACACTATGGGAAACAACTTATGGAATAAAGCTATTTGGAGTGCTACATACTGGTAGTTTGATCGCAGGCAGACGGATTGACTGCATGGTTAATTTTTGACGTGCTCACCATGTGTAAAGCGAATACGAGCTAGTTTTCCTCAAAAAATTCTCCACGAAGACAGTTCTTATTTCAGCCTTCGTGTGCTTTGCCATATTCAAGTAACCTAACCCAAGCTAACCTTCATCTGTGGAAAAATAACCTGCAGCATCGGATATTTCGTGGTTTTTCTTTTAAAGCCAGGGGTCTTCATACTGTATTCCGCAGAGTGGGTCCAAATAAAATTCGAAAAGAAAATTATAAAGCACTCACACAAGTTGGCTAGTGTTCATTAACTAAAAATATAAAGATGTACTTATTAGAACTTAGCTTTGAAGCTTAACGTGCACTCATCAATGTCAAAGAGAATGACGTGCAATGCTTTTCAAAACTAAGCAGTTTTCTAATAGAAAATGATTTAGACGACAGTGTTAAAAATTATGCAATGCAACACCTTCTTCATTTGAAGAAAACTACAAGAGAAGAAAAAACTAAGTATTTTTGACTGAATAAAAATTCCGTTCGAGTAACTACGATAAACCAAAGAGCTTGCCAATGAAGGAAAGGGAACAACTTATCGACATATCACAGGTTCGACATTAAAACCTAAATTTAAACAACAGCGGCTCCTAAATTTTTTATTTCAGATTCACGGAGAGTTCCTAGAAGTTTCTCACATGGCTAGATTTTAATGCCATTTGCGACAACGTATTTAAGCGAAATATTTTTCTCAACGTATGTTGTAACAAAAACAAAATATAGAAACAAAGTAAATGCAGAACGTGAATTGCGATTGTAAAAGCCAAACTTCGAGAATGTGTAAAAAAATGCAAGCACACATTTGTCACTAAATAGAACGCAAAGGTAGGTGACATATGGAGCACGCGTTAATGCTATTAATGAGTAAATTACATTAATTTTATGTTAACATTTTTAATACAAAATACATTTCTTTAATTGTCTTCACATTAAGTATCACACATGTCTTCACATATACGGATTTACTTTAAATATTATTTTAAGATAAGGGGGTATGGGATTCCCCCCCCCGAAAAAAACCTCATAGTTCGAAAGTTTCCGTGAGTGGATAAAGTTTGAAGACCACCGGTCTGTGCCAAAGCAGATACGTTTAAGCGAACAGTCACTTATCTTTAATTAAAGATGCTGAAAAATTATTACAAGATTTTACTCAGATACATCATAAAAATGAATATTGTTCAGTTTTTAAATAACAGCATTGTTTGTTTTGTACAATCATCAGTTTTATGAACTCATCAGAAATCCTGTTGTTTAAATACTAAAACATGCAAGAATGCATGCAATAGGGTACATTTTTAAATCTAATGATTTAAATATAGCTAGAGCGTTAATACTCTGCAAGAATTACAATTTACTGCAAGTTCAGAAAAAACGAAGACCACCTTCTAAGTGAATGGGCCGTGTGTAGGAGGACCTCCAAGAACCTTAAGGGAGGCCGTTGACCAGGGACAAACGACGCTGGAGTTAAAAGGTCCAGCTGCGATGTCAAAAGAGAAAATCTCGTGTTCTGATGGAAAAGCTTAACTTAGTACAATAGTTTACGCTTCAATTATTACTTCAGAATTTAAACAGGAACAAATAAATACTTTTTGTTGAAATTTAGCTAACATATCATGATCTAAAAGTGTTACTAAAAATAAAATAAAATTCAAATGATTTAATACCGATATAGAAATTTAAAAATACTTTCGAAATAATTATAAATATTAAGAACATAATAAACTCAGTTTATCTTTTATTTTTCCTCCCTGTCATTTTTTTAACAACAGGAGGTGCTATGAGTTTCCAAACTCACTTTTTGTCCACATCACTTTTGCGTCCAATCACTTTCCAAATTCTTGCCACTAAATACTAACGCAATATATTATTTCAAATAATAAATAAATAAGTAATGAAAAATCTGTAGGTATGCATGCATGATCCTCGCACTGTGGAAAAACTACGGCACATGAAGCCGCCGAATGTTTAATACGCGTAGGCCTGTATCCGAATACGGGTACCTCTGAGCCGAACTTAAAATTGAAAATTCGAATTGTTTTTTATTTATTTCATATTCTGTACAAAATTAAGGAATTTCTGTTTAACAAACTCAGCGATTCGAAAGCGAGAAGCGCACTGTTCGAAATAAAACATTGTTACTTCTAGCGCGCCAGACTGTTGCCATTTGACAAAATGTAAGATACTTATCTTTCAGTTTTTATCCACAAATTCGATTATTTAAAAAGTAATGTGCTCGCCTTTCCCTCAGATAGAATGCTTTTTATCTGAAAATACCAGGATGTTGCCATCCAGTAATAATATACGATATTAACTTTCAAATTTAATGTGTCTACTGCAGTATAATAAACTAAGGGATTTAAAAGCAATAAACACAGTTAAGAATATTTTTTCTATTTTTAATATGATTGATTTAAATAAAAAATACATTTAAATCACGAAACATCTAATTAGAAATTATGAAATATTTTTAGAAAATGACATCAACACAATACACGCCGCTAATTAAACTCAGCCGCTTATCCCGTTCGGATTTCCAGGAACTAAAACAAATAAATACTGCTCAACAGAAAAACCGCCGCTTATTAAACTCAATGTTTGACAAAAGACTGATTCTTCAGTGAGTATAGCACCTAATAAAGGTTTTCGTAGTTCATTCATTTAGATCCATGTTGTGGGTTGTGGCTTTATCATTTAGGTATGTAATGCTTCAAACGTTTCCATCGTAAAAATCCTCCGCTTGAGATAGATACTTTGCTTTTACAGAGACTTTTAAAAAAAAAGCTTATGAAATGTTTCTGTAGACTGAAGAAAAAGTAATAAAAGCACTGGTCATGCTTGTAATCATGAAGTGGCAGATCGACTAAACAAACAAAGGGCAATCTTTCTGCTGGTTAGAAACGTAAATTTTGAAATTTGAATAAGTCATTGGAAGAAGACCCCCCCCTTTTTTTGTTTGTTTGTTTTAAATTTGTTACATCTCGAAAAACCAAGCGAAAAGACGTAAGCCTGGACGAAGAGGATAAATTGTTAAAATATTTTAATGTTCTTTGTTATTTCAACCAGAGGAAAACTGCATATAACCTGAAAACATTGTGCAATGAACTTACAAGGAATTTTAATTAATGAAGAACTAATAAAACACGCAATCATCTCAAGGAAGCACAAAAGAGGCAGAATATCAAGAGACGTGGATACTGCTCTTTTACAACGTCTCTCAATATTCTTGCCTTTAATTCTACAGCTATTTTCACTAATCCGCTAAATGCTAGGGCAGAATTTTATATCAATTGGCATATGGCTCACAAATTGGAGAAAGAGAAATTCAACATTATTCACCCGAAATTGCACGATCAGAAGAAGCGGATCATCATGCAGCTGATATCTGGACACAAAAGACGTTTTCTTGGGTTGCTAAATGAATACCAGCCACTCGAATTTATAATACAGACGAAACTGGACTACATAATAGAACATTTGCCAGAACAACAGATTAATCTCTAAAGATGAAACAGAAGTTGATTTAAGACACTGAAGGAATAAGTTACTGTTTTATTAGCGTGCATTATGGACCTAACTACTAAGAAGACAGCTCTAGTTATTGACAAAAGCAGAAAACCTCGATGTTTGAAAGCAGTTACTTCTAATTTACCATAACAACAAGAACTCATGGATGATAAATAGTATTTCTACCGAGTTTCTTTTGAAATGGGACAGCGGACTGAAAAAATATAGCTTTACCATTTAGATATATGCGCAGAACACATATCTCTCTTTGAAAAACAAATGTCTCTTCCTGCAGATCCACCTTCTAAAATTTAGAACTTAATTTTAGGGCATTATAAAAGCTTTCAAATGTCATTACAGAAAAGATGTTCGGTAAATGATAAACAGAATTAATTTTGTGAAAACTCCAATTCGAAGGAGCTCAGCAAGTCGATTTGTCTGCTATAGGTTATATATGCTAGGTTCAATGCAGGGACTAATCTCTTAAAATCATTTAAAAACTGTTTTCGAAAATGTGACTTTCACGTAGAAGAATTTTCGGAGGAATTGAAAACTGTAGCTAACGTTTCAAATATCACTGAGGGAAGTTATCAGGATTCATTTTTAGAACAATTTTCAGTTCACAACAATATTTATACAACGCGTATAAAAACTGATTGTGAAAGTGTTAACTGCAGAAACTGAACACGAAACTGATACAGAAAAAAGTGATGACATGCCATCATCAACCAAATCTAGAAACGCACCGCAAAT